TCTCTCTCTCTCTCTCTCTCTCTCTCTCTCTCTCTAACTCTTTCACTCACGTTTATTCGCTTTTTTTTAAATTTTAGATACGCACTCTTAGAGCTTAAAATTTATACACTCGCTCTTATTACTAAGAAAAAAAAGAGAAAAACAAAACAAAAAACAAAAAACAAAAAAAAAAACAAAAACAAAAACGATTTTTCACATTTTCTTTCATTTCCCCTTTCGCTACTCTTTTCTCTTTAGGTAATTCGAGAGGTATTGCACGTGTAATGGCGGGCGCACGCGCGGACGCAGTACAGATTCGGAGGCCGGGGCCATCGTTGCCTTATACGCACGAGCTATTGCACCGTTGCCGAGAACGTGACTCGTCGAAGCGAAATAAAATGTGGCAACGCGACCGTCCGTGGGAGCGAATTTTTCGGACCGTGCCAAGTCGCGCTTCATTCGTTGTGACGAAGTCTATTATTATTATTTTTTTGTTTTTATTTTATAATTTTCTCTTTATTTTTCAATTCATTTAGAGATGAGCACCAAAATAGCCGCCGGAAAGTAGTAAAAAGTAGCACCACGATTCAAAGGAAATACGTTTCTTTTTATTTTTTTCTCTTTTCTTTTAAAGGATTCATTCAACACGCGACAGTCTTTACGAAATTATTTAACAATTCGGTGACGGCCTTGACTTTCAGAGTTTCGCGTTAATCATTAAGAAGCACTGGACTTTAAAAATAATTGAAATTCAAGGGCATTGAAATCAATTGGCTTAAAATTAAAATTATTGAACAAGTGTCCGAGATTAAATGATTGCCAGATTAATTTTAAGGCATTTTACGCACAAGATACTCGGCACCTTTCGAATAATATCATACTTACAATTTCCTTAGACTATATACACTTTTTTTATTATTAGTTTTAAACGATCTAAAATGTAATTGAACATCATTATATTGCACATTCGTGTTGTTATCTGGTCGTCGATTAAAAACATTTATGATTATTTAAAATTTCTATCTATGTCTCTAGCGATTGTGCAATACACTAAATCAAAGAATATCGTATCGATTAACGGCGAAAGCATTGATCGAATCAGTTTAAATATCCAAGGTCATCGGTCATTCCCAGACTGAATTCCGTATCTCGATGCTCTCTATGTACAAAAAAGGGGGGAAAGGGAATAAGGGGGGATAATAGGGAAAAAAAGTCACGAACAACAGCCGAGGATCCGAAGATATCGGTAAGCACGAAGCCGTGAGCGTAGACCCAATCCTCGGCCTTGCAATCGACTTTGTTCCTCGGATGAGAGGAAAGCGGGGAGCCTTGTTCGCATCGCCGCGAACAAAATCCACCCGCTAATCAAGAGTTCGCGGCTCGCGTCGGCACGAAAAATTCGCTCGCGAAAATGTCCCCCCCCCCCTCTCATAGGGGCCCCTCGATCCCCCCCCCCCCCAGTCGCAGTAGAGGATCTCTCTTATCGGCTACTTGCGTCGGCCTGCCCTTATCGGCCCAGGCGCTCTTTTCTAAAGAACTCGGGCTAGCGAGGAGCTATCCGGGCTCTGATCGCCCCTTCCCGGGCACTGGCACACCGCGCACGCGCAGACCTTCAACGCCGGTGCCGCTCTCGTGCCACTGTCGCCGAAGCCCACTTAAAGTGACTATCATACACCATCGTAGGCGAGGTCAACGGGCGGCCTGCTGCCGCCGCTCTGCTGCAAATAGGACGGCGGCGTGGAGGAGGTGCCGGGACTTCCGGCACTGTATGCCTGGTAGCCGGCCTGGGCACCGCCGTGCATGCCGCCTCCGGCCGAGGGCGAGGGCGCCGAGTAGGCGTCGAAGGAGCTCGAGTACGAGTTGTTGTAGGGATAGGGGTTGGTCATGGGGTGGTGGCCGTGGAGGGACGGATGGTGGTGGGACGTCATGCCCGTGTAGGAGCGCTGCATGAGACTAGATTCGAGGCCGCCGAAGATGTAGCCGTTGGCGGGGCCGGCCCCGGCGGCAGCGGCGGCGGCGGCTGCGGCGGCGGCGGCTGCGGCCGCTGCCGCTGACATCGGCACCGGGTAGTGCGGCCCCGGGATCACGTTGGGATAACCGCCGTGGTGGCTCATCCCTGCCCCGGACGCATACCCGTTGCTCGAAGCGAGGTTCTCAACCGTGTAAGACTTGCTGTGCTGGGCCTCCTGCTGCCGTCCGGGCATCCCGTAGCCGGGATTTGTCCCATAACCGTCGGCGTACATGCCGCCCGGTTGGGCACCCGTGAGAGGCGGACTGTAGTTGGGGTTGGGACCCCCGGGCCCCGAGCCCGGCCCGGCCCCGTAACCCGACAGATACGACTGGTGACCGGCGTCGAGCTTGTCGCCGAGGCCGTCCTCTGACATACCAGGGTGTCCGTGCTGCTGTTGCTGCTGTTGCTGTTGTTGCTGCTGCTGCTGCAGTCGTTGACCCCCACTCTCGGCTATGCTGGGGATTTGGTCGACTAGGGACTCGAGGTCGCTGAGGCTTTTGGAGGCCACGTCCTGACCGCTAGATCGCTTCATACCTGCGGCAAAATCAAGTTTTACTGAAAATGCTTCAACCAATTTTTAGGCTATCGTGAAGTTATGATGCCTCCCCGCACCTTCTTCCACTGCTCCCGAACGCGGCCGAATAATAGTTGTGCAATTGATTTACCGTACGGAATATTGGTTTTTGGCTGTTTACGGTATTCGCTGCGAAAGAGCGAAAATCCGGTCAGTCAAATTAGCGTGATTTGCCTTCGAAATTACGTTCAACATTCGGAAAAGTCGGGGCAGAAGAATAAAGTTACTGAACGTGGTCAGACCACTGTAGCATTGAACATTTTAATGGCCAATTTCATTTTGAAGATTCAACCAACGCATCGCGGAATATATATTATTTTTCAATTAAATTTTTTTTTCATTTTTATGAAAAAATATTTTCAACGCTTACTATAATTACACTTTATGATTTATTTTTATTATAGTTATGGACTTTTAATTAACCGGAATCAATGTTTGCAATGAATTTTGATCCTCGGTTAATTCATTGTGCTCGGACAGTCGATAAATAATTGACAATCGCTCAAAGTTAATAATTCCAATATATCGATTCTTTATTTATTTCATTTTTAAGCTGAAGTTCATTTGCTTCGATTTTTAAAAAAGTTCTTAAGCAATTTCCTTTGTCAATTCATTGTTGTAACCACTTGTAATAATGGTTGCAAATGAATTGGCTTTATAGAGCAGTAAAACATAATAATATAAATTATATAAGCTTCTTGAATGTGTAAGAAAGTTGACGTAGCGTTGAAAATTGTTGATTAATAATTCAGTAGTTTTCATAAAATAGTGAAAATAAAGAATGGAAATATTTTATTGCCTTAGATTTTTACATGACTAATCGAATAACATATATAAAACATATATATAACATATATAATAACATATATATATACATATATATATATATATATATATATATATATAAAATGAATGAAACAACAAGCATGATAAAAGCTAACGCTTGAAATTCGAATAAAGTTTTATGTAATCGTTAAACGTTTACAGCTACATCACGCTACTCATTTATTTATTATTAAGGGCAACATTTCAATCCTACTTGATGCAATAACGCTTTAACGTTATTAAACATTTAAGTTTTTTATTATAAAAAGGACTGCAGTTTCATAAAAAAACAAAAGAAAGAAAAAAAATTTGTACGGATATTAAGATTAAACGTTGTGACAATAAACTATTGAGATTTTATTGCTCGTAAATTGTCTAATGATATTTTAAATACAATAAAAATCAAAGTTCGATATTTAGTATGTAACTCTTCTTGTCAATAATCCATAAATCTTTACAAGATGTATTATAAAGCAGCCCCTAAAAACTTCCGAAATTATAAATTTAATATAAGAGTCCATTTAAAATTATCTATCAATATTGTATTATTGTTGTTTTTGCTTTTATAATAGCCTCTCTTTAATATTGCCATAGTATGTGCTTTGAACGCCGAGATATATCAATTTTACTAACCGCATAAATGTGGAATGTAACTTTTCGGTATTTTAATAATAAGCATGCAATTGTAAATATAAAACTATTCGTACATATGCTCCTTCTTTATGAGAAAGTGACAAGAAAATTCTAACATTAAAAAGCATTGAAGGGTATGTATGGTTTGCGCGAGTAATAAGGTTGTATATATCTATGTTAGCACGTGTGTTGGCATTAATTTTATTAAGAATGCTTTTTGAAAAAGGTTTCGATGGAATTTTCTTACTGGGACTTAATAAGAATTCAACTTTCATCAAATCGCAGAATCAAAGCAACAGTAAAAGAAAATGGATCTACGAATAAGTTGAATATTTGTCCAAACTGTGTGACTAAATTCTCCGAAGACCATTTATAATGCACACGCCAAATGTTTGGTATAACTATTTAACAGAACAAATTTTAATCATTCTTTTTAAGAATATAAGTGACTAATTAAAATAAGTAGCCTTTATATGCGTAAAAGTGGTAGCACTCGTACACTCGTTGGAGGTAAAAAAAAAAAAAAAAAAGAAGAAAAAAAACAATGAAACTACCCACTGATTTACTAAAACGTAAAACTTCGATTTTTAACGGCTTTTAAGACGAGAGTCACAAACCCCTCGTCTCGGCCAAGGCCGCTGCCCCCTTATGTCATAATTCCGGGGCAAGATTTACCGTACTGCTCGTGCGGATGAGGCGACATAGAGTGAGTCGGTGTGTGCTGGTGATTGTGGGGCGGCGTTGGATGCGAATGATGCGAATGTTCATCCGTTGTCTGACTCATGGGTGTCGGAGCGCCTTGATGTGGGTGCTGTTGCTCCTGCTCGTGATAAGCCATGTAACTGCCGTAGCCGGCGTGGGAGGGCGTACCTCCGGGACTACCGTGGTCGGCCGTGGGGTTGTAACTCTGGGGCGGTTGTGGCGCCATACCGGATGACGTGCCGTCAAAATCCGGGTGCTCAATACCGCTGGGCGAGGTTAGGGGCGAGGGTTCGCCCAAGTTGTTTTCTGACGAAATGGCGGTGTTTATCTCGGAAGAGAGATCCGAATGGGTGAAGGAGAGCGACATGGACTTGGGACTCTGACTGTAATGCTGCAGATGAACGGGGCTTTGCTTGGTGGTGCCGACGTTATATGGACTGTCGGATATGGCCTGGCCATAGTAGCTCGGGTCATTCATCGGTTGGGGATAGGGTGCCATGTGTGAAAAGGGCTTGGGCGGCGACATCATCGGTGGTGAAAAACAATTGGGCACGTTCCCGTAGCCATCGCCCATATGTGGCATCTGCTGATGCGGATGGTGTTGCTGATGTTGTTGCTGCTGCTGTTGCTGCTGCTGGTGATGATGGGGGTGCTGCTGGTGATGCTGCTGCTGCTGCTGTTGGTGGTGATGGTGATGATGGTGGTGATGATGATGCTCTCGCTCCTTGGCCTCCCGTTCAGCTTGTTTTTGTTGTTGGTGGATCTTTTTTGGGCGTCCCCGGCGTTTCTTTATCACCTCACCGTTGGCGTCGATTTTTTCCGGATCGGGCGGCGGCGCTTCCTCGGGGTTTTTTATTTTTTTTGGGCGACCCCGTTTCTTCTTACCCGGTATTAAACCAGGCTCCTGCTTTATCAGCATACCTATCGATATTATTTCAGCTATTGATTAACAATGTTCAAGGAACGCCTTAAATGTTCTACCTTAAGTAATGTATTAAGTAAGTTACTATCGTTGACACCTTAACGTCAAAAAATGCCAGTCGAATAAAAATTGAACATTAAATAACAAATTATGCTATTATTATTATTATTATTAGTGGTAGTAAGTGATTCAGTTAATGGCAGGTGTTAAGAATTTAATGAAATAAAACGGAGACCCGTTTAATACGCGGTTGGCTATGTGTTTCACATATTATAGTTTAAAACTATTTCAAATACTAATACACTACTAAATAAAATCTGATAATACCCATAGATCGGCTCTTAAGAGTTATGATATTCCCAGCAAAGTTGTTATGCTATCGCGTGAGTTTGTACGAGCTGCGTTACAGACAGTGCGGATCGTAATTCACTTTTCCTAGCAATAACGTGTCGAGTTTTAAAGAAAACTTTTAACAGCATTACCGAAAATTCTGTTCGATAATTAGATATTAAAAAGCAGCGGTATCGGTAATAATAATTGGAAGGATAATATCTCACCATCGCTGTATCGGCCATCACCGTCTAGCAGATCGTCCGCAAATATGGGCTTCTTGTCCTCGAGGGCATCGAGCTCCCGTTTTTTCAGCTTCGAGTCCGCGAAAACGATATCCGACTCGTCGAGGTGTGAGATGGTACCGTTGAGATAGTCGCGGAACTTCTTGAGAGCCGCGTAGTACGGGACTTTGTCAGCAGCGCGCGGCAATTGAGCGCAGCGCGCGCTGCTCGACGGCATTACCCACATGTACTGCGAAAATAAAAATTGTCCTTTTAGCGTATTTTTATATGCGAGCATATAGTCGCATTCGTTGCGCATTAAGTAACTACTTTAACACAATTTTATTTTATTTGCACCACGACCCAAGACGAACAATCTCACTGATGAAATAATGCATCCACACGCCCAAGGGCTTTGCGATGCCTTCAGGTACTGAGGACAAGAGATTCTTAACAGAACTAAATCTACTATTAAGAATATGGCCCTCATTATGTACCCATTCATGCCCTCCTTCTTCACGGGCTTATTTCAAACATAATGACTGTATACAGTAGATCGTGCTTATATCTCTATTTCTATATATCGTACGTGCACCCAATGGCAATTTTTAACTTCTCTTTTAAACAGCTATGGCATTCGCATGAATAGTAATTTTTATATAAAAATTTCGTATCACTTTACTTTTCATGCTAGTTTATACGATTATATTACATACATTTCTTAAACTTACTACAAAATCTTCGTTGTTTTAGTTAGAAAAGAAATTGAAGAAAAAAGATAGAGGGAGAGAGGGAGAGAGGGAGAGATAGAGATAGAGAGAGAGAGAGAGAGAGAGAGAGGGAGAGCAGTATGAAATATAACTATGTAAATGCTACGGAAGTATTGAAACGATATAAATAAGATAACATTTCCAGATTTTTAATAGATATTATAAAACCTCTTGGGCACGAGTGTATTCTGAAAGCGTCATTGACAATATTTGCATTAAAAAGTATATTCGTATTAGCATTGTCATCGATTTATACTTATATTTTTAATTTATCAATGTCTATTTAATCAATGTTGTCAGTCATACTGATGTTCGACTTGATAAGAACATTTTAATTTAAATGCATAGCTATTTACTAGAGGTATAAATTTATAATTTATTAAACCAAATGTCTCGTCTTTTCTTATTTTGAAAATACCAACAATAATTTTGAAAATCATATATCAAATATAATTGCAATATCATTGCCTAGTAGTAGTTAATTCTATAATATAATAATAACAATGCAAATCTCAATAATTAAAATTAATTAAATATACTATATAAGGGAGCGATGCTAAACGAATATAACGTATTAAAACTTACTGTGTTTGTGCCTTCGACAAGATTAGGTTGCCTTCCGAATCCAAATTCTTTCTTACCAGAAAATACCTCGTAAATTAGTTTTCCGTTAAAAACTGCTATTTTAGGCTTATATTTTCGTAACTTTTCTAGAAGTATGTGGCTTCCTACAAACAAACAAAAACAAATATATAAAGTATTATTCATTATATAATGAAAATACAGTATTTGCCTTTTTAATATCCTCATAATAATTTATATAGTATAAAAATTAGGAGATATGAAATTTATTTATCTTATCAGTGATGTTTTTAGCTGAGATAGATAAACGAAGGTAGAATTTTTTAACTATTTAATTAAAGCAATTTGATAAAGGCATTACCAGAAATTTTGTTGTTGTATCATTGTATCATAAATATTATATTTGTTGTAATACAAATCATTGATTTGAACACTATAAAAAATTTTTCTAATAATTTTTATTGGTTTATTAATAATCAATAATTTTAATATACACAAAATGATAATATTTTATGGTTATTTTCATAAATAATGTTAACTTGTGACTAAAAGTGTATTAATAATTACATAGAATTGTTAAATATAATTTTTTGTTTAGTTTATTCTTAAATTTAAATAAAATTTATATCATATCATCTTATTTTAAAGAATTTATACTTTGGTTAAAACTTCTAGTCGGAATATCGATAATTAATTTTTTATATAAACATTTTAAAAACTAATTAATGCAGATAATTATATTAATGTATTTTAATTAATAACTTTTTTTTAAATAAAATAGTTTAAATACATGTATGAAAAAATATTTAAACTAATTATTTAATTATTAATTACACTCATCACACTATCGTTTTATTTCAGTTGTATTTAAAATCAGATTTTATGAATAGATATTTTAATAGGTTCTATAAAAATAAAAACAAAAATTAGATGTTACAAAGTTTAATAAATAAATAAATAAATAAAACAAATAAAATATAATAATTAAATGCTGATATTTATATTCCAATTAGAAACACAACTATTTACAATGAATAATGTTTTTTCTATTAATAATTTAATAGTAACATTATCACCCTAACAAAAACATAATCAGTTTCTATTTGATAATTCCTGTTAATATATCAACGACTATAATTTCATTTCACAAATTTAAGAAATGTATAATATTTTAAAATATTTAAAAATACTTTTTCATTTGAAATGTTGACTTTGAAGTAGATACATAATATATAATACAGTAGAACAATAAACTATAATTATTTACTACTTTCTATTCATGAATGTAATACATTAAAAATCATAATACGGAAAGAATCATTAATAAATAAATTGTAAAGAAATATTTTATCGATTATATAGTTATTAAAGCTATATATTTATACAAAAAACAAGTGTATTTTCTTCAATATAATTTTTTTTTTTTTTTTATTTTTTTTTTTAAATAAATATCAGGTTAAAAAGTATACAGTTGAAATGACGGACCCTAAAGGATTAAAAACGAAAGTAAAATGTTAAGTTTTTTCATTGAAATGCCATTTATAGATTTAATAGAATGATTTTATGATGTTTTAACTTCTCTCAAAGTTAATTCTAGTTCCAGGTATAATTTATAATACAACATTTATATTTAATTACAATATTATTCAATATATCAATAAAAGAGGTATAAATTTATAGATTGTTATTAGTACCGCGTATGCATGATTAACAAAGAAAACTGAATAAATTTTCAACAAACCAATACTATGAAACTTTTTTTTATAAACTTAGAAAATAATTAGACTTATGATATATATTAACATAGAATAAAAATATTATTTGAAGTATATTTTCCATGTAACTTTTAATGATAAAAGCATTATAATAAAACATAACAAAAGCCGCTTATTTGCAATTTTTAAGTAATTTTTATTCTGCAACTATAATAAGAATATTATTGAAATTGAAAAGTTTAAGTTAATAACATTATACCGTTCAACTAGACACGCAATATCAGGATAATGAATAATTAGCATATGAACACCAATCAAAATTACAATATATTATGAAAAATGCTTTCGAATAATAAAAGTAAAGTAACTTGAAATAATAATTACACCCTGATATATATATACATATAATATCTTATTAAAATTCTACTAATTGTCAAATATTTTAAAAATATCTCTAATATATGTATAAATAAAACTGTATTAACGAAGAATAATATAATTTTATAATAATATTGAAAAAGGTATAACATAATTTTTGCTAATAAAATATAGTAAGTATGTAATTACCACTATTTGTCTTTCAATGTATAATAATTATCATTCAATATATACATTATTACATATCAATATTATAATAAACAAAAAGTTAGAAAAATAAAAAAATACATAAATAGCGATTATCAAAATTTATTTAAATTTGAAGCTATGGTAAAAATCGTAAAAAATAAGAGATATTTTTTTATAAATGATAACATTTTAATATACGTAACTATATTGTTTCTTATTTAAAACAAAAACATATATAAACTATGTTAAAATAGATTGGATATATCTATGAACTATTTAAAAACATGAATTTTAAATTCTTTGGCTTACGAAATTTAAACGTTTTTCATAATTGTTTCTAATTTACTTATACAAAATATTATTATAAATGAATAATCGTTTATGTATTATATTCCAATAGTAATTTATATTTATTAATCATTCTATAATAGATCATAGTTTGTGTACATAATTTTGTTTTTATTAGGCAAAATAATTTCAAACGAATTTCAGAAATAAAAGAATAAGAGTAAATAACATAGATTTTAGATTTTCTTGTAACAGTCGAAAATTATATTTAATTAGCTTATTTTACATTAATTATATGACAATATTACTTTTTCAATTTATTCATAAATAAATATATAACGAATTAAAAATACTACACTTTAGTCATTTCTCTTTCATATTATCTTTCACAATGTTAACAGACACATTAAAATAATAATCATCATAATCATAATAACAATACGATGACGATGATGATGTGGTGGTGATGAGAATAATAATGATAATAATGATAAAATGCAATAGTCTACTTTGATACTGAATATATACAATAATTCATAGTGATAGTTGGAGCATTTCTATATATTTATAATTCTATTATAGTATATTGCAACTAAATGTATGAACGTCGTCTGGTAATCACGATAATAGTTTTTAAGGAATTATTTTTATATATAATTATGCAAATTATTAATTAAGTTTACAAATTGATTATTAATTTCCTAATTAATTAATTAATTATTAATTTCCAGCATATTATATTATGAATGTTTTTTCCAAATAGATCATTGTAAAAAAATGTTCTTTATTTTGTCTGCGAATTTAATCTCAACCCATTTTCACTGCCTTTAATATTTTTGTTAACTTTTTCAACAATTTTCCCATTAAACAAAAATACTACTTTAATTAAGGAGTCGTTTTTACTCAAAGATTGACAAGCTACAGTGTAAAAAGTGAAATTGTACCGAGTTCCTTCGTGTCACATATTATTTGCGGCTTTGTATCTGCGGATCTAAAAACATATGCCGCCGAAATTGCCACTTCGAATTAGATATGACCATATTGAAAATGTAATGCTGAAAATTTGATATAACCATTATTTATTATTATTCTATAACTTTTATGAACGAGCACTCGTATGCAATCAACGGCAATATTTTTTTGAAAAACACTTGGCATATTTTACGTTATTACAAAACATTTTACATGCAAGCGGATCAGCTTAGCGTTTCAAAATATAAAACTTAAATAAAAAGTATAAATTTTAAGCGTCACGTTGAGGACTCTGCTAATTTCATAATGGCTAGGCGCGTTCCAGGACTCTGAATTATAGGATGGAATCAGCTTCCAAGACTTCTTAGGCGAACATTTTGGTGGTAAGAATAAGTGGCTTCGGCGTCGGCTGTAAAGACGTGTCGTTGCACCTGTTGTTCCAATGTTCTTTCTGACTTAGCCCGTACATTCGCGGTATCGGCCTCCCACCGCCCACTTAACACTTGGCCGCGAATCACATGGAAGGAGCGAACGAGGCGGGGACGGGCGGGACTCTCGCCAAAGTAAATTTCTACCTAGAAACTATGGTTGGGAAAGATTGGGAGGGATCGGAAGGTTGCGGGTGAGGCCGTGAAAGTTTTGCGGGGGAACCGCGAGAGGAGTTTGCCCTGGTATTCGGTATGTCAGCGTCGCTGCTACGATAATTAAATTCGGAATCCATAATCGGTAAGATCTCGGCGAGCGTTACAGTTTATTTAGAGCGTCACGTAGCGTGGGACAAGGGCAGGTCGCGGGAGAGCTTGACTTTTTAGAATATTATATTTAGTTGAGTTCGTATGATTGTGTATGTATAATCTTGTCTTCATTTTTATTTGGCCATTTATGAGGACCGATGTTGGGATGGCACTGATTTAGCAAGTACTTCGTTGTAAATGTGAATGCCAGTGCGAATATACAGGCACAATGCAATTGTAAATGCAATTGTATCCTTGGTGGAACAAGAAAATTTGAAGTACATGATGTACCCAAATTAAAATCAAAATAAAATCATTATTTCCGTAAGAGATCGAAAAATGATTAAATCATCATTCGTACTAAATCCGTCAGGACAAAAGAGGAAGTGACATTGATGGCATCATAATTGCTCTTCTATGGAATGACTGTGAAATATAATTCATATTTTATTCTAGGTAAAAACGTAACTATAATTATTTTACACGCATTGGTGGATATTTAATTTACACTGATTTTCAGTATTGCAAATTTCAATTGAAGCGCTAGACAGCCACATATGTAAGGAAGGCTGATATGATATATCGAACGAAGTAATTTTCCACTTTATTTTTAATGCCAGCACATCCAGTTGAACTTGATGGAGAAAAGAATTATTTGCTACATCAGTCATGTAGAAAGAAATCGAGATTCGGTCGGGACGGCTGGTCATCGTCACGTTATTATTCTATATCTTATCGGCATAAGAATTCCAGGCATTCGCGTCCAACAGTTTCTGGCAGTTGCCAAGCTCGATTATCCAGTGGTTTTATTATTTGTAACTTGCGAGAAACTAGTTTCTTAACGACGTTTCCTTCTAAAGATCCAGTCGAGTCTCGAAATCTCCAAGTTCCCTTATCGGTCGAATACTTTATTTCGAATACACCAATAAAATACATCCAAATCCGTATGTGATAATAACAATAGTCCGACTAGTTGCACTAACCTTCTTTGATCTCCTTTCGCGTGAGGTCAGCGCTGCCTTTAGTGGCTCGCGCCACCATGTTCGTGAAACCGATTCCGAGACGTAAGAGTTTGTAGTCATCGTCGGCTGTCATCGGTTCAGGCGTCAGTCCGCTCAGGTGTAAACACTTCCCTGAAAAAAAAATGAAGCAATACGAAACACATTATTGTTATGTTGATTTCCCATCTTATGATGTAAAATGCTTAGAGGTGGGATGGGGCGATAACAAAAATCATTAAGCTAATGAACTGTCAGTTACTTGAGGTTAGCACGAACGGTTTTATGGCAAATAGAATGTGTGCACATTCGATTAAATTAGTAGTAGTAGTAGAGCGAAAATAAATTATACGATTAATCGATGGTAATGTAGTTGTTAATCGCTACTAAGTTTAGCGCGAGTCTCTGAAATTATTACTTTGTGAAACTTGTAGCATCTATGTTTGATTTCGAAACACTTTGGTTATGATTATAAGGGAAAAATAGTTTGGATAATTTATTAAAAACATATTTTTATAATTAAATCCTGCCACACTTTAATTGTTTAGAAAAAAATACATCTCGCTCAATATAAGTATTTTTTCAAGCTTCATATGTTAAACTTCGGACTGTGCTACGTTAATGTTTTATCAAATCGTTTTATTTTTAGAAACCATATTAATTCAACAGCTTTTAACTATCTGAATAAAAAATGAAAATAAAAGAAAAATAAATAAAAACAAAAGAATATAAAACATTTTTCAAAAAACCGAACTTTCGTTATTATAAAGAATGTTTGTCCACTAGGATAAGTTTGTTACGAATTTTCCAAATTCGGCAGAGGCATCGCTATATATGATTTACACTAAGTGAAATATCTAAAATATTTAAATTAATTAACTCGCGCCATTTCCATCATATTCCCAACAAATACGTTTCTTTATTCGAATAGAAGAGTTTGCTCAATAATAAATGGAATAAAACAGTGCTTGATCGTTGGAATAAAATCATAGTATTTTCGTCATAATTAACATTTGTATACGCATTATATCGCAAAACGGAATTTAAAACAATTAAAAAATGTATTGTTGTAAAAGAAACAAAAAGAAAAAAGTGAAAAAGCAATAATCGGAATCATTTTAAGAAAAACAAAATCAATCTAACTTCCGCGAATTAAAAGCTACGCGCGCTTAAAAATTGCGTCTCATGGAAACACTCGTGACTGCAACCTGGCGTCACTACCCTGCTTGCCCCCACCCCCGGCCCCTTCGTCCCACCCCTCGCTCAACGAAAAAGTGAAAGTAACAGCGAACCCCTTATCAATCGTATGATGCTCTCATCGCCAGCATTTATTTATTACACGTCCGCAAGTATCGCGCCACGGATGCGAAAAGGCGGGAGGGAGGAAGCCATGGAGCTCGACTCGGCAGAGAATTAAAACGACTTCCGGCTAGGAGGGGAGAAAGTGCCTGTCTCTCTCATACTTTCTCTAGGTGCACGAGAGATCGAGATATAAAAAGCGGCGGAAAGCGCTTCCCCTCTATCTCTCGTTAAACGGCGACCTAGTGTGAGCGCGACCTTGAGAGCCACGCTGCGAAACTTCAGAACAAAGTTAAGCGGCGGCGCAGCGCGCAAAAGTGCCACGGTGGTGGGGACGCGGGGGCGGTGGCGGTATGGCAAACCTGGAAGGGGTATAAGAAGACAAACGGCCGATCGAACGCAAAGTTTATCGAAAGCACGGGAGAGAGCGAAGCGACCTTCCGAGAAGACGCTAACCTCGCCTAACTTTCTTCCGCATTGGACGAACTTTCCCTCCCGTCCCCAACAGCCACGACCCCGATATCCGCGAGCTTTTCAGCTGGCTAGAGCCTTCTAGCGCATAGGTGCATATATTCTCACGTATTTTCAGCATCAGCCGCGACACTACCCCATGGAAAAGAAATATGCTTATATATCCATAATGAACGGCCTTTTAAGGATGTATTTAAACAAAAATCATTGCTACGTAATAACGACATGAATACAGAATGTCAAAAATAAGGAGAAGTTACATATCTAAGGCCTCTAGAGATTCTATTTCAAATGGCGAACGGCCGTATTAAAATTGTTGAGGAGCTAAATAATGAAAAACTTCTTATACCGAACTCCTTGACCGCGCGTAAAAATCGTCAATTAGAAACAAACTTAGCGGATTAGGGATAATTGATCGTTTTTAGGAGAAAATTTTTTTTAGATAATCTTACGTAATTTTCCACTACTTTGCTCCTACTGTTTTCCTATATTTCTGTAATATACTCCTGTCATATTTTCTTATCATTTTTTATTATATGCCTCTGAATCCCGCAGCATTTTATTGTCATACATTTTAGAAATACATCTGTTACTTTTTCATAGAAGAAATTGATGGCTTAGCTCTTTCATAAAGGGAAAGAGTCATGGAGACTGGCGTTTCAATCATGATTTCAAAATAGACTAACGTGACAAGAAACCGATAAGAAAAATTGAAAATGAACGATTAGATACAAAATACTGGGAGTACATTATGCATCCGCATAGGTTACCATTACAGTACAATAGAAAATCATATATATTCATATACCATACATGTTTATAGTTAATTGTTTTTACATTTATTTGAAAATGTATTTAATGTATGTAAGTTTAAGTGTGTTGACAGAATTTTTATGTAAATATTCATTAGATTGTTTACAACTGTACATTTGTAGCAATCTCATAATAACATATTAATGCTGTATAAATTGTAATTGCATTTAAAGTTAAAACTTATGACTAAATAATATATTATACTACAGTATAACCTCTTCAAAATTAATAAAATTTTTTGTATGTATAGAAATTATCTCTCTACTATTAATACAGCCTTTTAGTAGTTTAATGCGAATGAAATTTCACTCTACACACTTCACGGTTTCTACTGAAACACTTAATAAATATTTTACTATTAAATATTAAAATCTACATTATTAAATCATCATTGCCACTTGAACAAACATGCATTAAAACAATATAACTTTCAATATTAAATGAAAATATATTTAAAAATATAAAACTCTTTAAAAATGACTATTAAAAACACAAAATAAAAAAAATAAAAAAACAAAAAAATAAACAATTATAATCATAAATATGATTGAAATGAAACCGATATGATAATGGTCATTAATTACAAAATAAAAAATAAAAAAATACCAGCTGATTATTATATTATCTATAATTAATATTTTATGAAAGATAGTGTGCGTGAAATGTCTTAATATAAAAATAGATATTTGACTGATAAGAAGAACAATGCATTTTATTCATATTTATACATATAAAATAATATTGAATTACTTTTCATTTTATTAAAATATTTTCGAGAGTGTATTATTAATAATACAGATATTTCTTAGCTTTTTCTATTCAAATTTTCTGTAACCTATCGGCTTCAACAATTCAAAATACGAATGTATAGTGTTAGTGCTAATGGACTTTGTCAGCTGCACATTACGTCCCCCATCTTAACAAGTCGTAGTATCAAACTTTACCGAAAAAATCCATTAGCATAACACCAAGCCAAATGTCTTTGTATCGCTTATATATAATACAACAGGCTTTTTACACAAATACTAATAAAAATACAAAAACAAGGTATAAAATGCATATGTGCCACAAAATATTTCTACCAATAATTACTTAAATGAAAGCTACCTAAAAATAGAACCCTGTAAGAATTTACACGAAAACCGACCAAAAAGCATATGAAATTTATAAAACAAATCATGTTTTACATTTCCTTTTTTTTTAAGTGTAAAAAAATACTCCGATTAAAGTGTTCCTGATAAGCAGAAGCATTAACAAATCTACAATGTTTCATTATTTTGTCATCAAAGAAAAAATTAAGTCAATTATTCGATACAATAAGTTGTTAAGTTACGAATAAATAAACGATAATTCGATAAACGAAAGTAAAGATGACGAGCAAGTTATTTATATTTACGTAAGAGGCGTTAGCCGTATTAACGGAGAGTTAAGAGTACAAAAAGTAATTTAATACAAAACATGTGTTACACAAAAATAAGAGAGCCATGGTGGCGCGGTCAAAAGTGGTCAGAGGTTCAAGGGTCGATATTCGGCGAGTCCATTTTTTTCTGCGAATATATAAAGAGCTTTGGCTTAGAATAAATCGTTAACATAGTTAATGAAATTGATAGGCATCTGAAAGTATCTCAAAAAAAAAAAAAAAATAAAATAAAAAAAAAATGCCCAATAGAGTGGGCCATAATAGATTCAAGTGAGGGCTCGTAAAGTCATATTTATCTGTAATTAATGATAGAGATATTCGAATAGGATCAACTGCCCTCATTATCCTGCAATTTATTTTTAAATTTTCGCCCAACTACCAATATGTTTGTTCTAAAATTCTAGTATTAGAAAATTATTTTTACACGTACAGTTTATCTTCAATGATAAATAGAACAGCTACACACAAACTATTTAAAGATTTTATTTAGTTTAATCAATAAAATTCATATTATTTTCATTAAAATTATATTACTTTTCGATTAAGAAAAAGTTTGAAGATATTGGTTTATATATACTGTTAAGTACAAATTATGAAAATAAATTAATTGTTATTAATTGAGCCTTTCATACTTAGCTATATATTTCTAATAAATATTACATTCAAACAAGCTTTTGATTTTACTCATTTGCCGAAAAATCCGAATAAATATCTCTGTTATGTGTGCGTGGATGCGTTTATGCGCGTAGTTTCTTACGACTAAAGTTAATCAATAGTAGCAAATAATTTTGCATGCTTATATTCTTCCGTTAATGTTGCTAATACACAATTAATTTTTTTATTTCATATAACTTGAAAAGTAACTTAATCTGACAACGAACAATTATTTTAAGATTATAGTCTTAAAAAATTGATACAAACTTATTTATCATACTTATACGTATTAGTAGAGCATTATTTTTTGTATGTACAGATGAAGTTTAAATATAAAATAACGAAATATCTTCAATATGAGGGAGAAAAAAAACATGAGAAATTTGTATACTTGTAAAAAACATAAGACTTAAAAAAGTACCTTTAAACAAATAATATTTAAATCTAATTAAAGATAAAATATTACATTGATAGCAAC